GGCCCCCGCCGAGCCCCGCGGGCCGCCTTTCTCCTGGCGGGATAAAGGGGCCTCTGGTTCGGTCGTCACCGCACGCGGAGCCGCTGTCGGATCCGTGTTGTGCCCCTCACGGTGCGGGGTCCAGGGTAGTTTCCACAGGATTTTCGTCTCCGGTCGCCAAGGTGCCAGCGAAAGGAAGATGCTTTTTAACGGGCGTGGGAGCTGCAGGACGCGTAGCCCATCAGACACTGTTAGAATAGTCCGTTTTGCAGCCAGCACCTCGCAGGTTGCGTGGGTGAAATTGAAAGTATCGTCAGTTTCCTCCATTTCTAAGTGAAGAGTCAGTGGGGCCCAGTGTGATGCTGCTCTGCTGCTGCTTAATCCACACCGAAGCCTGTGGTGCTGAGGCAGTTTACAGGCCAGGGTAGCAGCAGGGAGATTCTTTCTGCTTTGGAAAGTGCTGGAAGGTTGCTGAGAGTGGAGAAAACCAAGAACACCCATTATCCATCCAGGAGGCCCAAGAGGTCGTGCTCAGGTGGTTACAGCTGTGTCTGAAGGGACAAACTGCTCTTTTATCACAGAAAGGGGGGAATCCCCCTCTTCAGGAGCCTTCAGGTTGAAAGAAATTAAATTTAGATAATAAGAGTCGTCTCAGTTTTCCAGTTGGATTAGATGAGTCACAAATGAAGCATCTCTGTTCTGTGTCCTGCTAAAGGGGAGCAGTGGTGCTAGACAACGGAGCCAAACAGAACCCATGGTCAATTTGAGCAATGTGTGTTAATTTAGGCTTCACAAGACACTTCTGGAGTCAGTGGCATGGGGAGGAAGGAGGATTAAATAACAATAAATAAAATATATAAATGGGACACAGCGAGGTCTGCTGCTCTAGCCATCTGACAGCATTTATGAATATTGCAGCCAAAAAGCTTGATTATTTTTGTTGGGCACGCTGCGGTTTGATGTTTTAACACAGTAGGAAGAATTTTTGCCTTGACCTCCCCTGCTCTGAACACTGTGATGACTTTGTGGACACATGATGTCTGTGTCCTGTTTATTCTGGTTAACATGATCCAGGGCCTGAGCAGTTTGTGTAAAATTATTCACGTTTCTCTGCTGCTCCATCACCCACTTTGGAAAAATTCCTCTGTGAAGCCTGGTAGCCCCAAAGAATAAGTCTAAAGTGGTACAATTCCTCTGGAAATGGAGGCTGCTTTGGACCTGGGTTGAAAAAATGAGTTTGGTATATTCCAAACTGGATTAATCTTCTTGCATTGGGGTGGATAAACAAGACAATCTCAATTGGG